TTCAGGAGTGTTGGGTAGAAGCGGATGAGTTAAATGGATAGGCGGTGTATTCGGGGGGTGATCATGTTCCGTCAAGGAGCCTTTAAGACTAGAGACAGTTATCGACGGTGAGAAAGATGTGTCACTCCCCATCAGGTCGGAGTATATAGGAGGTGGTCTCAGAATAGTGGAACTGTCGTCCTCAACATTTGGAGACCCCATAGCAATACTGTTGAGGGAGAGAGAGATAAAAAAGCATGAGGTGGTGTGTATGCCAATTTAGAGGAGATCAGAGAGTTATAAAGGGTGGTTTGGCTCTGGTAGTATTTAGAATCGATAGGTGTATCCCCAAGCAGGACAACAATATGGTTGCCTTGTGTGCAGTGGGGTGTTCTACTCCTATTATGGGTAGTCAGGGGAGTTTTATGTTTCAAATAATTTGTGCATGATTGTCTGACATTGTTGCCAGGGTTGGTGTTCATGTTGCGTGGGCTGTGTTGATTCCTGTAGCTTGCATGTTTCAAGCTATATGGCTTATTGGCATCATGTGTAAGTGTGGTTTATGTCGGGCGTAACCTCACGTTAGATAAGGGGATACTGCCAGTTCACTATGCTTGTTGTAGTGCATTCGACTGCTATGAGTAGGTGCATGTTGTGTATTGAGAGTGCTGGAGTACCTGTGGGTGTTCAGAGAGAATTTAGTATTATTTCGCATTACAGTGTTTGGGCGGTTATAGCTATTAGAGCGATTGGTGTGAGGGTTGGGTTTTGGCTTTTTATCGGAGCCACAAGAACAGTGCTTTGAAACTGTAGAGGCATAGGTGGGTGGGCGTTTTGATGTAGTTGAGTGTTTGGGCTTAGGGTGAATGGCTACAACTGCCTGGTGTTTAGTCTTGTTCTTAGGACTAGTAGCAGTATGCGACGTGCCTCCGTTTTTGGGAGGGGTGGGGTATGGTGTTTTAGGGACAGCGCTATGGCCAACATTGTAACTGCTGCTACCACGTAGGCTGGGTTGATTGCTTTGCACTTCACTGGAGTTTCGACGTTGGATAGCAGTCTTGTCATGGGTGATTCTAACTTTCTTAAAGGTTGGAATACGCCTCAGTGCAGACTGACTTTTAAGGAGGTGATTGGCTTCTATGATACTACCAAACTGAAATAGAATGGGACAAGAGGCTTTAGTCTGTGCTTTACGTAATCTTCTTGCTACACATTAAGATTGCGACAGTCCACATTCTTGTAGTAGAGTATTTTTAGCAAGCTTTAGGTTCATACTATCAGGTATATTATACGCAATGACATTGTGCATACACTGAAGTCTTTTCAGCACTTCAGCTGATATGTGGTCAATTATTTTTTTCAGTGTTTTTTATAATTTCGAGATCAGGATTTTCCGGAACACTGATTAGGTATTTATACGGTAATAGGTCTTGAATAGTTTGGGTGAGGCTAGATTTTATTTGACTGCTTTTATAACTATCACTGGTGAGATTATTAGAGTTTATATCAACATTATTACGGTCTATATGGTTGCATACACAATTGTTGCAAGTGTCTACGGGGTGGTCATCTTGTGCGTACTTAGTTGGGGGATAAGGTATATGTTTTGGTGAGTAGTGGAGATCTATATTATTAGGCTGGCTACTGTCGGTGGGCTTATGTGCACTCTGTTGGCCACTACACAGAATGACCGATTGTGGATTTATTATGTGTATGGGGTCAACCGCACTGTCTAAATACCGCTCACAACGTGTGCTGAGTGGGCTGTCAAATGATGTCTGGGAAGGCGGTATGTGATTACTCTTATTTATATCTACAAGCGAGATGCAAGGTAGTGACAGGTCATGCCCAAGTACATGCTGCACGTCTAGTGTAGCTGTAGGAAGATCAGAGTATGATGCAGACTGATCAGCGTGTTTAGAAAGCTTCACGTTATTCGCGTGAGTGGTGGATTAAGATCTTTTGCACGTACTATGAGCATCAGGAGAGATTATGTGTTTTTTAGATGACCTGGACATTATTAGAAGTAATGTAAATATAAATTTTGTATTGGGTGAGCAGCGACTGTTATATCTTTACTTACTAGGTGTGTAAAGTTTTATGGTAGAGTCAGATCAATATTTGCTAATAGCTAATATACTAACGTTAGTGAACGAGGAGAGGTGGACTGCGTACGAGATAGTGAGCTTAATGTACTATGTTGAGTCACAGGATCGGGTGTCAAATTAATAGAGCCCTATCAGAAACGAAGTATTTTTCACTAATAAATGTTGTTAAGTTAGAAGGAAACACTAATAATAAGAAAAAGTATAACCACTTGAAAAACAGTTACAACCTTCAAAAGAAGCGCCGTGAAACGAAAAATTATTGTTATTATAATTACTAAACAACATTGCTTGGGATGCATACTGTGAACCAGTATATGTAGTAAATTGTAGATCATGCCTGTAAAAATGGCGTGTACCTGCTATTGCAGAAATATATTATTAATATTATTATTATTATTATCTGAAGGGAAGCACGGGATACAGTGGATAGCTAGGGTGCAGCTGGACGATTTAGACTTCGCGGATGATCTGGCTCTTCTATCACACACACAACAACAAATGCAGGAGAAGACGACTAATGTAGCAGTAGCCTCAGCAGATGTATGTCCCAATATAAAAATGGAAAAAGCAAGATTCTCCGACACAATACAGCATGCACCAGTCGAATTACACTTGACGGAGAAGCTTTGGAGGATGTGAAAACTTTCACATATCTGGGCAGCATTATCGATGAATATAGTGGATCTGATGCAGATGTGAAGGTGCGGATCTGCAAAGCAAGAGCAGTCAATCTACAATGGAAGAACATATGGATCTCAAAGCAACTGTCCGTTAACCAACACCAAGATCAGAATTTTCAACAAAAATGTCAAGACAGTTCTACTGTATGGGGCGGAAACCTGGAGAACTACGAAAGCCATCATACAGAAGATATAAGTGTTTATTAACAGTTGTCTACGCAAGATACTTTGGATTCGTTGGCCAGACACTATTAACAATATTCTACTGTGGGAGAGAATAAACCAGATTGCAACGGAGGAAGAAATCAGGAAAAAGCGCTGGAAATGGATAGGACACATTTTGAAGAAATCACCCAACTGCGTCACAAGGCAAGCCCTCATATGGAGTCCTGAAGGCCAAAGCACAGGAGGAAGATCAATGAACACATTACGCCGAGAAATGGAGACAAACAAAAGAGAAGAATGAACAAAAACTGGACAGAGCTAGAAAGTAAGTTTCAGGAAAGAGTGGGTTGGAGAATGTTGGTCGGGAGCCTGTGCACCATTGGGTTAACAGCGAAAGTAAGTCAGCCTAACTAGTGTTATTTTTAAAATTTTAGAATAAATTATTCGGAAGGAGCTGTTTAGGTACATTAATGAGAATCGGATCATTTAGGAAAACAGTACGTTTTTAGAATAAGTTATTCCTGTCTCATAAACTCATTAGTGGCTCGTGAAAGCCGGTGCACCTTCAAAGATCAAATGTTACCCGTAGATGAAACCGACATTGGCTTCACTAAGGGTTTCGATAAAGCCTTTGTCAACCTTTTGTTATCTAAGAAAGAGAAATCTGGGTTGAAGGTTATTTTACTAGTGTGGATAGAAGACTTTCTAATTGGGCGTCAACAAAGAGTACGGGTGAGCTGAAATATGTCTAGCTGGAAAACTGTGCTTAGCAGAGTGCCTCAGGGTACAGTTTTGGGGCCATTGTTATCCCAGTATGTGAATGAACTCTCTCGTGTCCTATCATTATCGGTCTTGCTATTTGTTGACGATGTTAAAATATGGAGGGCGACAAAATGAGCGATAGCTTAGAACTGCGAAATGACCTGGAGAAATTATCTGAATTGTCTAAAATTTGACAGTTGCCGATAGATGCTTCCAAGTGCATTGTGATGCATATTGGTCATCAGGGTACAGATACATACACAATGAGTAGCAATCACCTACATGTTTTCCGGAGACATGATGACCACGGATTCATCGTTAGACCTAGAAACTACTGCACCCTGCCGTGCGTTAGCAATCAAAGGTTTAGGAACTCTACGGTCAATATGTAGAGCCTTTAGCAGTGTCGACGCCGAAGATACAACCAGAACTGTAGTTTGACAACTCTTTTCTAGTAACACCTATAATTGAATCGCGCCCACCCAGTTAAAATCAGAAGTCAGAAGCGAGGCGGTTGGAAGATATATTTGATGGGTTATCAATATATCGAGAAGTGACTGATCTAATCTGGCTAATGATTGCAGATGCTTCCCACACCGTTCTGTAACGTGATCTGATACGGATGCATGACCGAGTGCCTTCAGCTAAACGAGTCCACCAAAAGTAATGTGGTCAGTATCCAATGTCGAATACTTACAGAGCTACTGATTTTGGGGGATTATTTACAGCTACAACGTTAGGACATTTTTTGACTTTGTATACAGTATTCGTGCGTCCTAAACTCCAGTCCTGCATACAAGCGGCTAGCCCTTGTCAAAAGGAAGACAGTGAGCTTTCGGAAAAGGTTCAGAGAACAGCAGCTAAGCTGATTCCCGGAATAGCGAAGCTCCTTTATGATGCTCAACTGGATAGACTAAACCTATTCTCGTTGTCATATCGAAGAAATAGAGGTGACTTGATTACAGTTTTCAAATTGCTTAGTGATAAATTTGCACCTGATATGCCCTCATTTTCCTTATCATCAAAAACAGAGAATTTAAGAGGACACTCCATAAAGTTCACAGGTGCAGAACAAATTACTTGCCACCTGACTATCGACTTTCCCATCTAACCATCAACAAATGGAATCCATTAACTCAATAGGTGATTAAGGCTTCATCTGACGAGGCGTTCAAAAGAAAGCTGGGTCAACTGAAAGAACATAATTGCCAAGACTAATGCAGGTAATGAAGCCTTGTGAAACCGAAAAGAATTAATCCACTACAACGGAGGTCTGAGCTCATATAGTCTTTTATGCACAGTGAACTGATCATCTACTTTCATTCTTGAAAATTTGTTAAATTAAACTTTAAACAAGATAAAGAAACGTTACATTCATCTCAATTTTTTTGCTTTTTTTGTTTAGAACTTTCTTTTTTTGTCTTCGTCGTGGCAATGAATCTGGAGAACTTTCAAAATATTTCCCTGATGACATGTTAGCTCCAAACATTCGACATCCTAAAGAAGTCACCGTAAGAGGTTAGTTTGCTGAATTTTTTGACAAAAATTTAACAGTTTACAAGGCTGAGAATTTACGTGTCGCACCACGTTCTGATCATAAGCAAAGTAGATTGACTACATAACTTGAAATAATATTTGTGACAGAAAAAGTTAGCCAGAAATGGAAATGCGTTATTATAGGTGGGAGAAAGAAAATTAGTACAGAGTGTGTCTATGCACCAGATGGTAATCCTGTTTGGAATTTCGAAACCACATTGTAAGCCTTCAAATTATTAATATACTGTGTAGTAAAATTGCAACTAGGGGTGATCCAGTTGTTCTCTTAGTTTCCGATTCTGAGGATAATCATGTGGGTCAGGTAGTTGTACCCGGAGTTACAATCCCACCAAAACCTGCAGACCCTTCTGTTAGTCTCACGGATAATTCCCGACTATGTATCATGGAGATGGAACAAACAAAAAAGACGGAGATTGGCTTTGGAAGACTTTATTTCTGGATTTGGGTGGAAGAATACCGTAGTGAGGAATCTAAAAGCAGGAGCGCCAAGGGGTCTGTCCTAAGCTTATCGAGGTGAGTTTCCATCTGAATTCTGAAGGAGTTGAATTCTATATACTAATCGTGCTTCGTGAGTTGTGGTTTATTTGGTTCAGATTGTTAAACCTCATGTGATGCGGTAGATTTTCAACTTCATTTGACACTTCCTTTTGAGATCAATACGGTTGATGCCTTACTACTTTTCATTGTGTTAATTGAAATAGACTAAGAGCATACTCTTTAGAAAGTACAAGTCTCCAGTAATGAGGATAGCAAGTCTATTGACCTATATTAATCCTTGCAGTTTGTAACATTGTCGAAGTCTAATCTCATTTTGAATATATCAACAGAAGATGCTGATATTACGTGTTCTGGTAGAGAATTCCAGTAATTCACTACTCAGTGCGAGAAACGAAACTCCAGACATAGATGATTTGACCGCGGTTTTTGTCCTTAGAATATCTTCTCAAATTACCAGTCGTAGACTGAAGGAGAAGAAATGGCATATTAATACCAAGGTCATCGTTCAGTATACGATAAGCCAATATTAAATCACCCCGTGTCCATGAGGTATGATAACAGAAATAAGTTAAGGTGTCTCAGTATATCTTCATAAGATAAGCCATAGAGACCTTTTACTATTCTAGTCTCTCGTCGTTGAACTTGTTCCAGTATATCCACCTCGTACTTGAAATAAGGACCAGTTGCTTGGATCCCATATTTCAAATGCGGTCGCGCAAAAGTCGGGCATAATAGTCCAAACATCTCTTCGTCGAAGTACTGGGAAGATCTGCGAATAGACCATAATAATCTATAGCCTTTTGCAGCAGCAGCATTACAGTGACTGGTAAGTTTGAGATCAATGCTTAGTATGACTCCTAAATCTTTATAGTTTCTTACTTTGTGTAACACGAATCCACATGTTTTGTGGAAATACGAATCATCATAGTTATTTAATCGCATCACCACACTCTTGTTAGGATTCACTTCCAGTGACCGCCCGTCCATCCATGCCACTAATGAGTTGAGATCATCCTGTAATACTATTCTATCTGACATTCCGTATATGGATCTCCAGACCTTTATGTCATTGACAAAGATTAAAACGGATGATTTAGCTACAGTCGGTAATTCATTTACATTGTAGCTGTAAGTAATACTAGCCGTATCTTCAACATAAAGTAAAAAGAGAAGAGAACCGAAAACTGTGCCTTGGGGAACTCCACTTTTAACAGGTTTCCACGACGAAAGAGCTTCATTTAAACTTACCCTTTGTCCCCTGTCATGGAAAAGTTTTTTATCCAGTCTGTGACAGTATAATGAATTTCAAAACTTTCCAGTTTTAATTTAAGAAACGAATGGGAGATTTTGTCAAAGGCTTTACTTAGATCTATGAAAATCACATCTACAGGAATATTTCGATCTTTTGCCTCAGCCAAATCTTCTCTTGCAATTAGAAGATCTGTCAAACATGATAGGCCTTTCCGAAAACCATGTTATTTCCTGGATAAAAGATTATGTCCTTCCACATAGCTCATAACAGCCAACCAAATAAGTTTACCATCAGTTTTACAACTGTACTAGTTAAGCTAACGGATCGATAGTTACTAACTAAATCTCTACTCCCTGCTTTATGCTCCGGACTAATTGTCGTGTCTTTCCAGTCTCTGGCTAAAATGGACTGCCGTAGAGACATACCAAACAGTATCGCTAAAGGTTCAGCAATTACATCTGATAAGGATTTAATTATCCTAGGATGAATATCATCATGAACACTGAAGAAACAGGTACTTATTTGTTATACGAAACCCGAAAAATGTTATTTGCAACACGATTATGCAGCGATGAATGGTCCATGTTGGACAAATTGTAAGGCCTTCTTTCCTATTAAGAACGATGGGGTTTGCAGTTTTTCTAGTTCTACAGAACTGTTTGGAAGACATTTTGTGTGGCTTAGATGTTCTCTGTCACGAGTCATGAATTCACAAGAAAAACCTTTAATATAAAAACCATCACAATCTATACATCCTGATCCGTAGACAAGATTGTATCTCTAGCTGATGCGGTTTATGTCACGAAAAGTCAAACATTCAACGTTCTACTTATTAGGGTCTTATAAATATATCTTTATTTCTGTTATTAACTACCTAACCAATGCTTAATGTACTCAAAGTTGACTTTGGTAGTGACACTTGGGAACTTAGATTTAGCTTCTGGAGATCAACTTCACTTGTCTATTCACCACATGTTCATAGTGTCTAGTTTTGATCACATTCAAAATATTGGTTATCATTCCTGATACAGTAGGTTTCAAATTCTCAATAAAGCATAAAAAATAGGTCCTTAGGCTTGGTATGAATACCAAGAATTTAGAAAGTAACTGTACGCAACTAGGCAAAGAGTCAAGATTTTTAAATTCACTACATTATATCGGCCTAATTTTCCGGTGTATGAATTTGTTGGAATGTGGTTTAGCGATTGTTTATAACTTTCGTTTTTAAACATAATGTGCTAGCTTGGATTTTTGAAAAATCTGGTTTACTGGAAACTATAGTTAATCAAACTAATATCTATCTTTATTTACTTGCATAATCATCACTGTTTTGAAGAGAGTTACCTTTGGAGGGAAGTGTTATCAACCTCAGAATGTAGTTCCATGTAATGTAATCACTCTTATCAACTATAACATGGCTATTTGACCACATCTTAATAAATGAATTTTGACCTTCATTTAAACTGAGGTTGGTCCGTGGTTTAAAGTGCTTAACATAATGTTTCATTTTATATTAAGCTAAATATCTTTTTCGGTCTTGTAAAAATTTACTTTTCTTTAGTTTACCATTTGAAATCGGAAGTAAATATATCGGATGAAAATTAGGAGCGATCAAACCAAGACATAACAACGACCCTTAAAATTAGTGAGCATTGGACTGGCTAGTAGTATTCAGTACATGTTACTTGGTTAGGAACCACGTGATAGCCGCGACCAGTGATTAGGATCTCTGAGTAATATGACTAATAATCTACTGTTATAAACGTAAGTATGCCGTCGCTAATTGTTATAAACGTAGAGAGAGAGAGGATGCTGGTTATAACTTAGGGGTTTCTGGTTATAACAGTCCTTTTACTTCTTACACGTATGTGGGACGTTAATTTATCTTAGACGAATATCTACACTAGATTCCCACCCAGTGTCTATTCTACAGGACTTCAACAGAACTCAGATCAAGAACACAATATTAGCCTGACCATAACGTCAATATATTTCACACGAATATCCGACACAAAGAACAGTTAATCAATAAGTGTCCATCAACAAGGAACAGTCAAGAAGTCCATACATAATAAGGATAGGGAAATATATATATAACACATAACACCTGTCATCCCCTCTAATGTCTGACTCATCGAGACAACCAATCATTGACATTGTCGCCCACACATCATCTACCAAAACTGAAAATCAACTCAGTCTTCACTCTGCTTTAGATCTTAAGTTATAGCATTCCTTCGTAAACACCAAATAATTCTTTCTCGAACTGCGTTCCCAATACTTAGTCTTTCCGATTGTTGCTACTATTAAAGTTACTTTGATTTCCTTTATATTCATCTTGTCAGTTTCATCACGTCATTCTGATTTGGATATGTTGACTTAGGGTAACATATACTTGTGTTCGGCTTTACATGGACCACTACTGATTATCTACACTGAATTGATCATTAACGCTTGAAATTTCCTGATTCTTATACCATATGGAAAGTCAATTCAACTTATATATTTTATTGTCAGACAAACGGGCCCTGATAGATTTTAAATTATTATTGTTATTAATACAACTTTATTTTCAGTTTACATCTTCATAAAGACAAAGGTTCAACACCTAATTCATTAAATTATAGTGGAAGTGTTATAAGTTTATCATCCAATAATGATGAGTACAAGAAAAAGAAACGATGGTATACGAAAGTAGCTAATCATGCTATGCATGTGCCTACTTCAATTCAACAATCACGTTCACCTTCAAATTCAGTGCCGAATACAAAGTCAATGAATAATAGTTACAATCCATTTGGTATGTAGACTCTTTTTTTATCTTGGTTTAAATATATCTGTAAATATTTGCAAACCAGGTTAATTTTATTAATTAGGAATTGATAAAATCATTTGTTCAGAAGGGGTTTTGTGGAGAATTTAGTATTTTCATGGTTGAAATCATGAGTTAATTGAAGCTAGATAACCATGGAAAACCTGGAAGCACTGGATGCGAGTGCGGGATCGTGGATGTGTACTGCTGAGGAGCCCCATAATAGAACGAAACGGCCGTCCAGTGCTTCAAAATTTTCCATGGTGGTCTAGCTTCAATTGACTCATGATTTCAATTATGAAAATCATTTGTACTGTTTATGCAATTCTCATCGCTTTGACTAACTTGTTTGACAGTTCATTTTAATGTTGCTAAAATAGAATTGAATCCTTAATAGATTGTACACTGGATTCCTTTTATTCATACATTATATATTAGCATTTTGATTGATGGAGATTTTAATGAAACAAACATGAGACATAATTATTTATGTTTTGTAGGACATAGTTGATTGAAGCTACAATCGGACATTAGCTAAAACTGTATGCTATTTCAGATTGTATACAGGAAAAATTGTTGTTAAGAGTTTTTAGAGTGATATCAGTGTTTGTGCATTGACATCGCTCTCAGTAATTGTTTCAGTATATTTTTATGAGGCTGATAAAAATTTTATACCACTGGCTTAATTTTAGATGTCAATTAATTTGGGATTCTTATTATCAGAAGGGGTTTTGTGGAGATTTAGTATTTTCATGGTTGAAAGCGTGAGTCAATTGAAGCTAGACCACCATGGAAAACCTGGAAGCACTGGACGGCCACTTCGTCGTATTGTGGGACTCCTCAGCAGTGCGCATCCACGATCCCAGTTGAAGTTAGATATTAACACCGTTGGATGCCGGCTCATTGGTCTATCGGTTAAGTGCTCTGGCACGAGTCTGATAGGTCCTGGGTTCGAATCTCGCGTGTGCGGGATCGTGGATGCGCACTGCTGAGGAGTCCCATAATAGGACGAAATGGCCGTCCAGTGATTCCAGGTTTTCCATGAAGGTCATAAAATAATCTGGTTGCTTTAGAGAGTTAGCTATCCGTCAACTAAGCACTATTTTTATCTGCATAACGTATCTTAAATGTTTTATGAAACAGTGTTTAAAATTTATTATGACGAATATAACACGTAGAACACCAACGTAATCACACATGATGGGGAAGCTCTGGAAGAGGTGGAAAATTTCACGTACCTGGAAAGCATCATCGATGAACAAGAAGGATCTGACGCAGATGTGAAGGCACGGATTAGCAAAGTAAGAGCAGTATCCATACAAATGAAGAATATATGGAACTCAAAACAACTGGAAAGCAATATGAAAGTGGGAATCTTCAATACGAACGTCGAGACAGTTCTACTGTACAGAGCTGAAACGTGGAGAACTGAAACCGTCGTTAAAAGTGTATAGGCATCTATAAACAATCATCTACATAAGGTACTTAATGTTCGTTGACCTGATATAATCAGCAACAACCTACTATGGGCGAGAACAAACCAACTTCCAGCTGAGGAGGAAATTAGGAAAAGACACTGGAAGTTGATAGGAAACACATTGCGGAAGTCATCAATCTGCATCACGAGGCAAGCTCTGACTTAAAATCCTCAAGGGAAACGGAAAGTAGGAAGACAAAAGAACACATTACGTCGGGAATTGGAATCAGACATCAAAAGAACAAACAGTAACTGGAAGCAACTAGAAAGAAGAGCGGAGAACTGAGTTGGTCCAAGATATCTAGTTGGTGGCCTATGCTCCTCCTCGAGAGGTAACAGACATAATTAATTAAATGTGTGAATTCCTTTCCTATTACTGATTTCTTCTCTGGAGTTTTGTTCTCTGAGCTGGATGGTTTGGTTATGGCGCTTTCATCGTGATTGTGAACGACATCATCAGTATACACTTCAGATAGAAGTGAAGTGCAAGAATTTTTCCACAAATGGCTCATAGTTTGTCCTGTAGATCTCGATATTGATTGGTTCTTGTTGACCTTGAATCTGTCATTGTTTACTTCTTTGTTTTGGTTGTATCTCCTAATGGTTTGATTTTTGGTCCTATATCTGTCCATAAGTTTTCTGATTGGTTGATAAATTGGGTCGATTTCACTTCTGTCCGAAGTTTGTGCTGATGACGTCGTTCAGAAGAACGATGAAAGCTCCACGACCAAACGATCCAGTTCATTGAAAAAAACTCCATCAAGACTCGATTGGCTTTTGCCAACTTGCGTCACTTGTGGCGTAAGCGAGATATCCGTCTTTCAGTCAGAGGGTGGGTTTAACGCGCATTAGTTCTCTCCGTCCTACTTTGCTGATGTGAAACATGTTCATTAAAAAGAAAGGGTGTTCGTAGGCTTCTAGTATTCGATCATAACTGTCTACGAAGCATCGTTCGTGTATTTTTGGACCACGGGTTAAACAATGACTGGGTTAGAAATAGAGTACAGACGGGAAGTCAATTGGCGAGGTAGTAAATCTCAATTGAAGTCAATTGAAGCTAGACCACTATGGAAAACCTGAAAGCACTGGACAGGTTTTCCATGGTGATCTAACTTCAATTTACTCATGATCCCGATTATTGAAATCACTATCATATCTACAAAACCCCTTCTAATATTTATTTTTATTGCTATTATTATTTATTTAAAGATTATTATCAACAAAATTTAAATGAAGAAGATGGAGTAATTGAAGAAAAAGATGGAAGTGTACTAGGAGCTTATAGTGAATTAACAGGTACTAATTGAAATTTATTTTACTAATAAAAAATTTAGCTAATTCATTATCATCTTCATCAGCATTTGCTACAAATCAATTAAAGCGACGAAATTCAATGCATCCAAGTAAAAGAAGTGGATTAATTGCTTCAAATATTGATATTAGTATAAAAGATTCAGATGAACATTTGAAGAGTAAACCGGAACTGTTGAGAATAGCACCAAAATGTGGTCCATCTTCAGGTAAGAATTGATTAAGCTATTATTTTATATTTTTGTTTTATTTAAGTATCTCATGTATATTTCATAAGTTTTCAGCTATCCCATGCGCACTGCTGAAGAGTCCCACAATAGGACGAAACGGTCGTCCAATGCTTCTAGGTTTTCCTTGGTGGTCTAGCTTCAATTGACTCTTGCTTTCAACTACCTCATATTTAACATTTATTTTTTTGAACAATATACCTCAGTTCACTTACTATTGTTTGTTTGAATCTTCCCATTGATTTTTAGGACTGCAGTCCGTCAGTTTTTTATTGGCATATGTGCATACTGTACGTATAGCCTTAATTCACAAGTATTATAAGCAAATATGGATAGTGGCTAGTAGTGTATTCCATTGAATATACCTCAGTATTTATATGTGTTTAATTAACTTATTAGCATAATTCACTTTAATCGTCCAATTTTGCTCACTGTAAGCAATGAACGTGATTAATGATGTAACTGACTAGATGTACTCATATCTAAATGAATTTCTATATGATTTAGAGTAATCGTAAAGATCAATGCCTACTTTGATATATAATGTTGATTGGCATGAGATTAGTTTGACAGAAAATTGGTACAGGTAAGGAACGACGTCGTACTAGTTCATGAATTTATTGACTCCTGATCTGAATCACATCCAGAGATGTTATAACTCATTCAACTTCTTTACTGTTTTAGGGTTAAGAATTCGTACTGAGTAATCATATTATGTAATTCATCAGTAATATCATTCTCAGTCGGTACAATAGCATTGATCAAATATTACAAGTGATGATAACAAAAATAACAACTCGAAATTTATGATCAAAGTTCATTTCTTCAATGATTGTAGATTATATGATATGCAAGATAGTTCTGATCAGTAATTTGATAAGGAAGTATTAAACAAATAGGTTTGGTAATATATTTCAGTGATTATCTTGATTCTGTTTCCACTACAGAGTATTAATGTATGTATTTAAACAACCAAATGACTGTAAAATATTAGAGTAGAGCAACTTTGCCATAGAATTATGCAATGACATTATTGACTTCTGAGTGCATGACAAAACTTATAGAATTGAACTAACCTAAATGAGTGATAGCTGTGTACTTATTAACGATTGGTTACGAGATTGATTCCCCGTTAATCTCATGAGGAGCTCCTACCACCGATAGAGTCAACCAGTAAGTCATCGCAAATATGGGAAACAAATATGTTAGCTCAGTATACCATAACTTTAATCAATATAATAAGAAAAGAAAACCAATTTGATGAGAAGCAAAGGAAAGGAACTAACTTTAGTCGTAATAGGAATTTAAACATATGAGATACAGTTTCAAAAAAAGAAATGAGATCAAAGAATGAGGAATCAGGAATGATACTCAGCGTTTAAAGGGAAGTAGAGAATAACTGCAACTCCGCCTGTAGCACCTCTAGGGGCTACTGCCGGTCCCAAGCCCGGGTAAAGGAGGAGGGTTGGGCATGGGGTTAGCGACCCCATCCCGTAGAAAATCAACTCGCTAAAAAAACGCTAACCAGAAAAAATCATTCAAATCATTCAAACTCTGCCCTGGGAGTAGAAGGAATAATTATCACGTCTCATGATGAAAGCCGAGTTACTTCGGAAGTCATGAGGCCGATGCACCTTCTTACAACCAGAGCGACAATTTTTATAGGTACATGGAATGTCCGGACAATGTGGGAGACCGGCAAAGTCTTCCAAATTTCTGCGGAAATGAGGAAATACAACCTGGAAGTGCTTGGAATCAGTGAAACACATTGGACGCAGGTTGGACAACAACGACTGTCTTCATGGGAACTTCTGTTATACTCCGGTCATGAAGAAGAAAATGCCCCACATACACAAGGAGTGGCACTGATGCTGTCTAGAAAAGCACAAAATGCACTTATTGGATGGGAATCTCATGGACCGAGGATCATCAAAGCCTCCTTCAGAACAAAGAGAGAGGGCATTACAATGAACATCATCCAATGCTATGCGCCGACCAACGACTACGATGAAGACGCTAAAAACCAATTCTACGATAGGCTGCAGTCAATCTTCGAGAAGTGCCCAACCAAGGACCTGACCATTCTAATGGGAGATTTCAATGCCAAGGTTGGAAAGGACAACACTGGATACGAAGACGTCATGGGACAACATGGACTGGGAGAAAGGAACGAAAACGGTGAGAGATTTGCAAACCTATGTGCCTTCAATAAACTGGTCATAGGTGGCACCATATTCCCACACAAAAACATACACAAAGCCACTTGGATTTCACCGGATCACACTACACAAAATCAAATCGACCATATCTGCATCAACAAAAAGTTCAGGAGGACGATGGAGGATGTGAGAACCAGAAGAGGAGCTGATATAGCATCCGATCATCATTTGCTGGTCGCCAAGATGAAACTAAAACTCAAGAAGCAGTGGACAACGGCGCGGACAACATCACAAAAGTTTAACACTGCCTTTCTTCGAGATGCTGACAAACTCAACAAATTCAACATAGCCCTCAGCAACAGGTTCGAGGCCTTTCATGACCTACTCAATGGAGAGGGAACTACAATGGAGAGCAACTGGAAAGGTATCAAGGAGGCAATCGTTTCAACATGTCAGGAGGTTCTGGGCCAAAAGAAGCACCATCACAAGGAATGGATCACTGTTGGTACACTGGATAAAATTGAAGCAAGGAGGAACAAGAAGGTAGCAATCAATATCAGCCGAACAAGAGCAGAAAAAGCCAAGGCACAAGCCGAATACACAGAGGCAAACAAGCAAGTGAAGAGGAGCATCAGAACCGACAAACGTAAATATGTGGAAGATTTAGCGATGACAGCGGAAAAGGCTGCAAGAGAGGGAAACATGAGACAACTGTATGATACAACAAAGAAACTTGCTGGAAATTACCGTAAGCCAGAAGGACCAGTGAAAAGCAAGGAAGGCAAAGTAATCACCGACATTGAAGAACAACGAAAAAGGTGGGTAGAACACTTCAAAGAACTCTTCAATCGACCAGCTCCACTGAACCCACCCAACATCGAAGCAGCACCCACGGACCTCCCAATCGATATTGGCCCACCAACAATTGAAGAGATCAGCATGGCCATTAGACAAATCAAGAGTGGCAAAGCAGCGGGACCAGACAACATCCCGACAGAGGCACTGAAAGCAAATGTAACAGCAACTGCCAAGATACTCCACATCCTCTTCGGTAAGATTTGGGACGAAGAACATGTACCAACAGACTGGAAAGAAGGACTTCTCATCAAGATACCAAAGAAAGGCGATCTGAGCAAGTGCGACAACTACAGGGGCATCACTCTTCTCTCAATACCAGGAAAAGTCTTCAACAGAGTATTGTTAAACAGGATGAAGGATTCCGTGGACGCTCAACTTCGAGATCAACAAGCTGGATTTCGTAAGGATAGATCGTGCACAGATCAAATCGCAACGCTACAGATCATTGTGGAACAATCAATCGAATGGAATTCATCACTCTACATCAACTTCATCGACTACGAGAAGGCATTTGATAGCGTGGACAGGACGACACTATGGAAGCTTCTTCGACACTACGGCGTACCTGAGAAGATAGTCAATATCATACGGAACTCCTATGATGGCTAAACTGCCAAATCGTTCACGGAGGACAACTCACCGACTCGTTCGAGGTAAAGACCGGTGTTAGGCAAGGTTGCCTACTCTCACCCTTTCTCTTTCTCCTGGTCATCGACTGGATCATGAAGACGTCAACATCTGGAGGAATGCACGGGATACAGTGGACAGGCAGGATGCAGCTTGACGATCTAGACTTCGCGGATGATCTGGCTCTTCTATCACAAACGCAACAACAAATGCAGGAGAAAACGACCAGTGTAGCAGCAGCCTCAGCAGCAGTAGGTCTCAATATAAACAAAGGGAAAAGCAAGACTCTCCGATACAATACAATATGCACCAATCCAATTACACTTGACGGAGAAGCTTTGGAGGATGTGGAAACCCTTACATATCTGGGCAGCATCATTGATGAGCACGGTGGATCAGATGCAGATGTGAGGGCGAGGATCGGCACAGCAAGAGCAGCATACCTACAACTGAAAAACATCTGGAGCTCAAAACAATTGTCAACCAACACTAAGGTTAGAATCTTCAATACAAATGTCAAGACAGTTCTTCTGTATGGGGCGGAGACGTGGAGAACTACGAAAGCTATTATCCAGAAGATACAAGTGTTTATTAACAGCTGTCTACGCAAGATACTTCGGATCGAATGGCCAGACACTATCAGCAACAAGTTACTGTGGGAGACAACAAACCAGATTCTATCAGCAGAGGAAGAAATCAGGAAGAAGCGCTGGAAGTGGATTGGGCACACCTTGAGGACATCACCGAATTGTGTCACAAGACAAGCCCTCACATGGAATCCTGAAGGTCAAAGGAGAAGAGGAAGACCAAAGAATACATTACGCCGAGAAATTGAGACAGACATGAGAAGAATGAACAAGAACAGGATAGAACTAGAAAAGAAGGCCCATGACAGTGTGAGTGGGTTGGAGAAAGCTGGTCGGCGGTCTATGCTCCATTGGGAGTAACAGGCGTAAGTAAGTGAGTAAGAGAATAACTGCAGAATAACCGCTACGGCAATCAATTTGTTCTTTCTTACATCACTTCTTAAACCACTGTCTATTTGTAATCCGTTGGTCCCAACAAGCAAGTCTGCACCTACTTATATATATCAGACCAGTAGTCATTGACTAAATGGATTGATTTCACGTCTTTATTTACCTGCCAGATGACACTAAATAATAGTTAGGCTATATCGCTAATTAATTGAAGCTTGAATGCTAAATACTGGGCCCCGATTTAGTAATTTAAAGATAATGTAGTTATTACAAAATCTAATTGTACTTGGTTTAAACATAGGTAACATACCATACAGTCTTACAGTAGAAAAAAACGATTGTTCATTGTATATAGTTGAAATCATGAGTCATTTGAAGCTAGACCACCATGGAAAACCTGAAAGCACTGGACGGCCGTTTCGTTCTATTGTGGAAATCCTCAGCAGTGCGCATCCACGATTCCACCTCGCGAGATTCGAACCCAGGACCTATCAGTTAATGTTTAACTTCAACCAATTGTTGATTGCTTCACATTTTTTAAATGATTCTTTAGTTGATTTAAGTCTGCAATAAAAAAAACTACCTTAGGAGTTTTAAGGTTAATTTAACGTACTTGAACCTGTAATTTCAGTAAGTGATCCATGAACAGTTAGATCATTGAAATCTTATTCTCTATGAAGCAAAATGACTAATTTTAGGCATTTGGTTCACATCACCCTTTTTGTTCTTTGATAAATAATAATCACAATTTAGTTATTTTAATCCGCATGTCTGTCTCTTTCTTTCGAAACCTCAATAGATTTTTTTTAGTACGATTATGTTATTAAATTACCTTCAATATTCCAGAGCTATAATCCTAAGCAGTTATAGAAACGTTGTTAAAACTGTAATTCCTAACTTCATCTACATCTCAAACAACTTATTCGTTTAAATAAGATGAGGGGAACAAGATTTGCAGAATAACATGGATTCATTGTAGTTTAAGGCTCCTGATCAACTGCAAACAGCTTAAAGCTATGTTAGTAATATTATTTAAAGTTGAATTCATGAGTCTATCTAAGCCAAATCATCACTGAAATCCTGGAAGCACTGAACGGCTGTCTCGTCCTGTTATGGGACTCGACCCCAAGACCTTTGGTCTCGCGCGCAAACGCTTTACCTCTAGACCACTGAGTTCCATGATTTTGTGCAACCCTTCATCTATTGTCTAAGGTGGATACCTGTCTCACATCAAATACGGATTGAACTCCATTGGTCACGGATTCTCATCAGAACTCCAGGATATTTATCTTGAAGCTAGTCATTAGTGAGCATATGATTGTTATCAGAATGGTGATTTGTGGAGATCGACTCGTAAATTCAACTTTAAACATACTTCAATCTCCATAAATCCTCAATCTGATAGTATTTTTATCATAAAACCTTTTTAAGTATTATAATTAATGGAATTTAATTAGAAAGGACATAAGAAATACGGAAACAAAACAACATATTTAACATAATTGTTAAGTATTTGTTTCTTAAAGATGAGGTCATAACAAGAAAGAATTAAAGTTATAAATGATATTAAAGAGTCAATGAATAAAAAGAAAGGAACAAAACAAATTGTTTACAAATGAATTATTATCAAAGTATAAGGTGGTGTTTGGAAGTAGTCAACAGGAAACCCTGGACCTAGGTTTCGTGCTACTTGGCACTCATCAACAATATGTACCTGTAATCTTGAGGGAACTGGTGCTCCCTGACGCATTCAATCCCGTATCATCCAGCTTCACAGTCCGAGACGTTACCACTGAGCTAACCGAGTCACGACTGACTTCCTGTAGGACCTAGATTTCGTGTTACTTCGCACTCCAGGGTTTCCTGTTGAGTACCTCCAACCACCATCTTATCCCAATATAGTGCACGCAATGTCAAGTCATCTAGACTGAAAGCCACATTGCAACTTAGTCGATGGGATTCGATCTACACTAAGAAAGACCTGACATACATGATATCGATCATCATCTAGTGATCAATCACATGTAAATCATCAAAGCATCTGATAAGAAATCTTGAACTAAAATGAATTCATGTTGTTCTACAAACGTTCTTATTCTGGTTGAATGAAACTTATTGGTTACTGAATGAGAATCTATCTTCTTTTTTCAAAGACAAAATTATGTTGAAAACTGGAAATAATTAAATTAAATAACTTTGTATATTTTTATTTATTTATTTAAACACAAATATTGGTACAAAGGGGCACCACATATATATACGACACACAAATCTTATTTGATGTGTGAGGGTTGTGATACTGCCCAGGTGCCCACACTGAAGCAGGTGGTTTTCTTAGGAGGCCACACCTGGAGCCTTTGACCTAAAGGTCTAATCCACAAGGTAGTGGAGCATCGTAAGGAGATGCAGTCCTTTGGTAGCCAGTAACCAACAATTGATTTATACGCCAATTGTTCTCTGAGGATGATGGAGCCCATGTACACCATTGGTTTGAAATCAAAGTTTTCCAACTCTCCTAGGTGAACTTTCCATGTCCACCAACCTGGTTAAAGCGTCGGACATTCGCTTTTCGTCCTCTTAATTTCGTAAACAACACCGTGGCTACGAGAAGGCAATGAGTAAGATTTCCTTGGCAGAGGCTATATGCGCGTGGCCGTGTAATAGCATTTAGAGAGAGAGGGTGGGCCCTCCCCACTCTCGGCTTTACCAGGGCATTTGGGGGTATATGGATGAATAGAAACAAATGGAATGTGATAGAATTCACTATATTCTGTAAATATGATCATCTTTGTATTTTTAGTATTTTATTTTTCTTTAATGTTAACCATTTTAATTAAATTATCAGAAATATTTTACAATCAAAATTATTGAAGCCATAATAATGATCTACTATATCATAAATAAACTTGATTTATCTCATTGAATTAACTAACTGATTCTTATACTAAGAGAACAATTCGATACATTTTTCTTGATGGAGTTTTGTTCTCTGAGCTGGATGGTTTGATCGTGGAGCTTTCATCGTCCTTCTGAATGACATCATCAACATAAACTTTGGGTAGAAGTGAAATGTTTTTCTATTTGATACCAGTCAATCAGTTGTAAAAAGGCAAATGTAGAACATAACACATAAATGTATCCATTCAAGTTACCAACCTATATTAGCATAGCTTGATGTTTATCTTGTCTTTGAATAGATTTCAGTTTTGTGTATAACCTTCGGATTAGATATAATTAATTTATATTGTTTCTCGCTTACACTTGTAAAATGTGACTCCTTAAGATGGATAATATGTCAAGACTATAAGAGTACGAACACTTCTGAAGTTTCAAAACTGTTTAAATATTCATAAGCCTACGAACAAGGATATTCTTTAAATTAGAATTAGGATTTTAGTTTAGAAAATCGATAAGGTGGACTGAGAGTTTTAAGATGTGTATCATAAATACATACTTACTACATATCTCGCTATTAAATTTTGACTGAATTAAGTATACCTTTAGTCTACTCAAATATAGATTAGACGATAGGTACCAATTAGTTGTTTGTTGATTTGACCTTGAGTTTTTTTCCTGACTTTTACTGTCTTTCCTGTTCAAATATGTAGCAACATAGGTGAATGTACTGGTCTTAGACATTCTAAATTCTCTAGTCTATTTGACCTGTCTTGAATGTGTTTTTCACAACAAAAAAACATTTATTTCTAATAAAAAAACTGCTGTAATTTGCTTCCTATTTTCTAGGTGGTACTGAATTAACAATTTACTGCCGTTTTCTCACGACTGAAATAATGAAGCAATCTACCGTTTTTGTTGGTGACCATCCAGTTTCTCGAGATGACTGGTTCCTAGATGAGTCAAGTCAATCTGATTTATCGCAGTTACGTGTCCATATGCCTTCGTTACAGCCTGGACGTTATTCTATTTATATAGATAGTGTGGAATTTGGACGTATTCTTTGTAACCAGGAGTTTACCTACCTTCACTCGGACGTCAATTTAATCCAATCACCTACAAGGAACTTAGCTGGTAAGTATGTTTTGAATAAATATAGTTGAATATAGCATAAGGAGGCTATTTTATCTTAGTGTAAAACTCTTCAATGAGTTCATTAAGATTAAAGTATGTACTTACAGAAGTCGAAGCAGTGGTAAAAATGTATCATGAATGACATGAAAACTAGGGATCCTGGTTTTAATCTCATGTACAATCGATGTTTCACACCATTATGCAGAATGAAATAGCTGTTGAACGCTTCTTAGCTCTTATTGGTTCTTCAGATGAAGTCAGCTTGTGCTGTAGGTATCTTTAGATCCTTCCTGGATGTAACCAATAACATAAGTAACCCCTAACGAGAAAATCATAAAATAGGTTTATACCAGCGGATAAATTACTATGAAAGTAAATGTGCTTGATATTTTAAAAGCTGTAGAAAAGGGAATATCATCGAATTCGAAAAACTTAAACTGAAATAACACTTTTTAAAATGAATTTATCCGGAACAATTAATCTAGAAGTAAATGAGTTATGAGCAGCTACAGATATAATCTTTTGACTCATTATGTTGTCCGTTGAGATGTTCGATCAACTGATATCACCGTCAGAATAAATAAACCCACTTTATGAATTTCTGTATATAACTGATTACAACTCAATGCATCGTAATGCATACTCGTATAATCGGCGCTAGGCTTTACATTTTATATAAAGATGATGATAACACTTGGTTACCGAAACTTAAAGTAAACAGAACTATGTTTAGACTCTCAAACGTAATAGCCTGCAAATTAAGTGTTTTCAGCACAATATAATGTTGGTTAGCTAGATTTGGAAATGAGGCAAAAGTTTGAACTCCACTATTCCGACACTGGTCGAGACATGAGGGTTAATATCACCAGCCCTCACAAAAAATATAACTTAACATGGATGAACTGAATCAGCGTTTTTCCAATCGCTTTTATTATGTTTCATACAAATATATTCAGAATAAGAATTTGAAACCTGTATATCCTTCAGTATTTCATGTTAGTTGGTTATAAGTAATGAACAAGTAATATTAGCTATTTGTTTAAAACTTTTTACTACTCATCTCCAAGATGCAAATGTACTCATGAAGGAATTAATACTCTCCAAAGTAGGATAGAAGAAAAATACAAACTATTTTTAATTGTCCATTGTTTTTCAACTGATATAGATTCTATATAGTTGGAATCATGAGTCAATTGAAGCTATAGAGCGAAACGGAAGCACTGGACGGCCGTTTCGTCCTATTGTGAGACTCCTCAGCGGTGAGCATACACGATCCCACCTTGCGAGATTCGAACCCAGGACCTATCAGTGTCGCGCGCGAGCGCCTATCCACTAGACCACTGAGCCGTCATTGAGCAGTGTTAATGTCTAACTTCAACCAATCCATGAAATTGAGCAACCATTCCAGGTTTTTCATGGTGGTCTAGCTTCAATTGACTCATGATTTCAACTATATAAAATGACTAAAATCTCCACAAAACCCTCTTCTGACAAATTCGTTTGAAAACATAATTCTTTCTTGGTATATTGATATATTATGAAAATTTTCCCCTCTGTTATTATGGGTATATATTTCCATGTCATCTTGAGTCGTTTTTATTCTTTGTAATAATTGTCACGGTACATAACATCTTTTCAAAGTATGGAGTTTAGAAAATGGAAACAAAACAAATGTTGTGTTCAAAGCCTTACCTAGATTTTCCTAACATTAAACAAAAGACATCATTGGAAGAGTTATCAAGAAAAAACTAGAAAGTATTAAACAGTTAGATATCATGGAAGAGATGTTTCTTTCCAGTATACAACTTCTCTAAAATGGGCACTTATGACCTGTCTAAGGGTTGAAACCACGAATTTCAGGTCTTCTATCAAGTTGTTGATCACTAAGCCATTGAATTACTATTCCCATGGTGTGGCGCATATGTACCTGGTGCCCTTTTGTACCAATATATATGTGTTTAAATAAATAAATAAATAATAACTATTCCCATGATTCAATTAACAAAACTATTTAGTGTTCCTTTAGCTTTTATTGATATCTCAGCTGTGGTCTATCTGTCAGAAATACCATCTATAAATATTATAACTTATAGTCTGCTTAGGTTTTTCAGAAGTTGCAAAAGCTATTCTAGTATAAATTACATCAGCGCTTGGGCTATAGTCACTTTTGTAAAATCTAAAATGTTTAAACTGACTTTCCTATAAATTCTCATGTATCCATGATTGAGTTTTACTCACACGTTAGTGGTCAGATTAATATTAACATGACATAATTATTATCCCGTTGCTATTACTTAAGGGCTAGATTCGTTCAGTTTGTTTTGGCAAATATGCATACTGAACAGTAACCACTATCCTACCTATAGATATGTTTTAGTGAATTTTTGGATTTTGAATATCGATAGAATCCGGGTTGCGCATTTTATCTTTCTTGGAACTAGTTATATGTATGCAGCTCCTCAGTTTTGATAATCTCATCAAACGTCATCCACTATAAAATTTATCCAAATAGTGTGAAGTGAATATAGAATTATAAGTGATCATATTAATCAAACAATAAACCAATAGGCAGACAATATAACTGATAATGATAAAAATGAAAGATGCTTTTTGTTGGGGTTTCGTTTTCTGAACTGGACAGCTTGATCGTTAAGCGTTCTTTATTCTTCTCAATGATATCATCAACAAAAACTTCGGGTAAAAGTAAGGATACCTTGACTAGGGAATTTACACGGAAATAAGCCGTAAATTTAAGTTTACGAAAAGAAAATGACAAATTAACAAGTAAGCAGTCGTTTTTCGGAGGTTTCAACAATTCAAAACATCACTGGATTGAGTCATATGATATTGCTCTATTACTGGAAGCATCTTTTTTATTCATATTAATTTACAAATAAATTCAATTAGTATTGTTTGCTTGAATCTTCCCATTGATGTCTTAGGACTGCAACTGGTTAGTCTCTAATTGGCATATGTGCATACTGTGCGTTTTGCCTCGATATAGCCTAAATTCACAAGTATGGTAAGCAAAGATGGATAGTGGCTAGCAGTGGAATCCAGGACGCGCGTTTCCTCCTATTTGGGAATCGTCAGCTGGATGTACCTGCATCTCAGAGTTGATGTTCACTCTGGGACTCGAACCCAGTACCCTCGCTTCAAACGCCATCACGTTATCCACTCGGCCATTGAGTCCTGATAGCCACTTGCTTGTGCAATGGGGTGAAGTTGTTTGTTTGAATCTTCCCATTGACTTTTTTTTATAAGTAGTTTGATGTATGTCTTAGGAAATTAACACAAATAAACTATCCAGATTCTGATTATTGCATATCCACAGTTCAGTACTACCTATCACATTGTGTAACTTCATTAGTGTTAGTTTATTAATTACGCTTCGCTTATTGTTTTCACTTAGAAAATCTCGACCAACAATAAATACAAGAAATTATGCATATCTGACTATATATACATTTACTCTTCCACACATATATACAGTACTTTCAATATACACTTCATATTTCTAATTGTGTAAGTATGCTTGTATCTCTGTTTCATTGTTTGTTCTTTATCAACAAACACTATGCAAATTTTGTTGTTGTTGTTGGTCAGTTGACTATCACTAGTTCTATAACTTGTATAGAGTTTCAAACAAAAGTAGACGCTTTTATGCAAAAAATCATCTTATGCATATTCAATAAATAAGATCTATGATTTTCACACTACTCATAAACCACAATTGATTGGTTAATATATATATATATATTTGGCGGAAGAAAGGTATCAATCTGGAAAAGAGGTCCCCCCCAAAAAACAATAATACCAACACCATGATCACCAACGCCAATGTTCATTTACAATAAATCAATCATTATCGATTATCATTGTTAATCTGAATGAGAAAGATATTTTAATGAGGTTTTATGATTGACTATAGGATATATATTTTATTGTTAAACTATACACATTTATAAGGTCATATTTAGTAAGTTGAAATATTTATCATTGATTTCATCTTCCCTTCTTAACACTGGATCAATATTTTATTTTAAAGTAATATTAAATATCAAAAGGGGGGTTTTGTGAATGATCATATGTTCACTAGTGACTGACTCCATGAGGTATTTCCTAGAGTTCTAGTGAGAAGAAGTAACCAGTGGAGTTCAATCAGGTCTGTTGTGAGATATCAACTTACTGAAGACATTAACATCCGTTGGATGACGGCCGGCTCAGTAGTCTATCGGTTAAGTGCTCGTGTGCAAGACTGATAGGTCTTAGTTTGGAATCTTGTGAGACAGGATCATGGATGCACACTGTTGAGGAGTCACAAAATGGGACGAAACTGTCGTCCAATGCTTCCAGGTTTTACATCGTGGTTTAGCTTCAAGTGACTCATGATCTCAACCATATAATATTAAATAGTTGAATTGATGAGTTGATTAAAGCTAGGCCAGTATGAAAACCTAGAAGCATTGGACGGGTCTTTTCATCCTATTATAGGACTTCTTGACAGTATGTATCTACGATCCTGCTTTAATCGACTCATGAATTCAATTATTAAATTACTAAAATCTCCACTAAAACCCCCGTTTCTGATAATATTCAATAATTTAGAGAAAATACGTATTTATAGAAGTTTTCAGATGGAAACTTGATGTTGATATTGCATTCTCTAAGATGATTAATTTTTAAAAAAACTTCTATCTGTAGAGCTTTAATTACTGTTCTAAAGATATAATAGTGGCTAGCATAAAGAAGTTGTAAATAGGACAAAATGCACTTCTTGAATTTCACTGCTACCCATCATCCATCTTTTCTTTTAACTGAAGTAAGTTATAAAATAGCTAAGGAACTGGCAAACTTAAATATAACACTAATATATGGAAGTGTTTGACTGTTTGTTTGAGTCATTTTAAGCAGTGTAAATTTCATTCAAATATGCAATGTATAAAAAAAACAACTTTAGAAATTTTATGTACTTAAGATCATGAATCAATTGAAGCTAACCATCATGGAAAACCTGGAAGCACTAGACGGTCGTGTCGTTCTATTGTGGAACTCCTCAGCAGTGCGAATCCACTGTAATCATCAACATAGTTACTATGTTTATTGATGAAATAAAAAAATCATCCACCCAGTCAGCTATAGATAACGTAGAACCTGGCCTTTAAGTAACTTTGATGACATTATCTTGTTACATTATGTTAAGATATTTGACTTTGACAAAATCATTACCATCAGAAGGGGTTTTGTGGAGATTTTGTATTTTCAGAGTTGAAAGCATGAGTCAATTGAAGCTAGGTCGTGGATGGGCACCGCTGAGGAGTCGTACAATAGGATGAAACGGCCGTCCAGTGCTTTCAGGTTTTCATTGATGGTCTAGTTTCAATTGACTCATGCTTTCAACTATGAAAATCATTACCATTTATTAGTTTCATTACTCTATTCTCCTTCTTCTCCATATGATGTAGATATGATAACGCTTCAGTTTAATCTTCTTATATTCATTTCATTTGGACATTGATATCAATAAATTTATTAATGAACTACCATCATATCAGTGGGTTGTTTGTGGAGATTCCTAGTAATTTTTATATATAGTTGAAATTATGAGTCAATTGAAGCTACACCATCATGGATAACCTGAAACCACTGGACGGCCGTTTCGTCTTATTGTGGGACTCCTCAGCAGCACGCATCCACGATTCCGCGTCTCGAGATTCGAAGAGGAGTCCCACAATAGGACGAAACGTCTGTCCAGTGCTTCCACGTTTTCCATGATGGCCTATCTTCAATTGACTAATGATTTCAACTGTATATAGATATTATTTTCATCAGTCTGTATGTGTAAGGGTTTGGGTGTGAGTACAACAATATTAAACTTAATAATGATTCATTTCAGTTAAAATAAGATTGAAACCTACAAATGAATTATAATTCATTGATCTAACCATTAGTATTATTATTTTCATCATTCATTTTGTTAACTTACATATACAAACAGTACATCAATCCAAATAACATCATTTCTCATATATTTTAATAATCCATTCATCTCACATATATCTCATATATGGTTTGCCCAGTAAATATGTAAACTGAGTCACTAAGGATTGTTTATGATGTTACATAACTCTACAGTTAACCATTGGTGTTGTATTTTACCTTGTGTAGACAAACAGGAAGTAGAAGATGAGAGACGAAGGTAATTCTGTCAAAGCGTTCAACAACACTTGTAGGATACTGACGGATAGCTGTTACATCACAACAATGTATCTGTATGTTCACCAGTGAATATATTCGAATTTTTGTATCTGTAATCTGGTAATCATGTTAGATCACCATTCTTACTCATTAGAACTATCCTCTGGCGATATTTACGGCCAGGAAATGAAAAACAATCATTCCCAAGCAGCACTCTCACGATGTAAAAATGATACGACGTAAAACAACCAGATAGCTAAAGAACCTGATTTCTAAGGCCTTCCATAAATGTTTTTGAACATAGAAAACGGAGACAAAGTATTTGTTTTGGTACATTTGAAGGTCATTTTGAAGGAGAATGAATATGATTATACCCCAAAAGATCATAGATATAAGTTTTTATAATCTCAGTTTGCATATTTATTGGACAGATTGTGTATATTACGCGTACAACTTAACTCATTTTTATAACTGCTTATTCATTAATATTGTCTCTATGCATTTCTTTTCATATGTTTTTATATTTTCTTCCATTCGGCTCTCACTTTTCTTATCTTCCAATATGTCATCAGTTTCATCAATGGATGAATCAACTAACAAAATTATTAATATTACTCCAAAAACCAATACATCTGTTGAAGAGACTGACGGTGGTGTTGTATTCAATCGTATGGGTTCTCAGAGAAGTAATCTTGTATTGGTTGATCGGCGTAGTGGTCGTCGTGAACGTTCAAGACCTGAAGCATTAGGCAGATCAGATTCATTGAGTAGTTCTATTTTAGGCGGTTCATCTAAAATGGGAACGATAAATCATGATAAAGTTGATATGAATAAACACGACAACACAACATTCAATGCTCATGTCAATGATCCAAGTAAAGAGTTATCAAGCCAAGGTAAACCATATAATAATGTTGATGATGTTAATAAAAATTTCTATGAAACTGATCATAAGCCTGTTACTGTTGAAATTTCTACCTATATTCTACCTAGTCCAATACATTTTAATCGTGTTGGTTCACAACGTGGTGAATTGAAGTTACATGATCGACGTGACAGTAATAATAATAATCGTCATCATCCTCGACGTACTCCAGTGAAAACAACTAGTGAAGATGAGGCAAAAGAATTAGGCAGTCCAGATGATTTTCAAAAGACTACTGCACTTTCATCAGTTATACTAGATGATAAGCGTAGAGAAACTGAAGATGTAGTATTATTGAACAAGTCAGAAAATAAGATGGAAATAAGTGAAAAAAATTCACCAGATTTTCAAGAGGAAATGTCATCTTTCAATCCAATTTCAGAATTTTCCATCAATAATGATACAGTTTCTTCATCTTCTTCTGAAATATTTTCTAATCAGCAATTTAATTCATGTTTGGATTATTCAGTCATAACGAACTCTAATATTTTATCGAATGTTTCTTTATCTCAAATACCGGAAGAGTCAGAAAATAACACAACACTACTCAGTGATTCACGTGGAGCAACTGATTTTCAAGTTGCTCATAATAAAGACGTTATCCAGTTTGAAAAATTGATTGAAGAAAACCCCTATCAAAATTCGCTGGATACTGGACCTTTAACTGGTGAATCAAATTTATGTTCGTTAGTTACTTAGATAATGTTAAGTCTGTATAATTTAATCTTAAGTTGTTGGAGATAATTGATAGGAAGTCATAATTGGAGGACGCTTTGTACTAGTCGTCAAATGATATTCACAGTGTTGATGACACTGATGCTCTCCATGGGATTCGAACTTACGTCACTGAGTGCTATTTTTTCTGACGTCTCTTGACTTTGGTTAAAATCCCATAGACGCATCATCTCCTTCTCGACTTCAGACATGATTTGTTGAAAAGTTGCAACTATTATGAAGCATCAATTAATCACGTATTCATGATGGTTGGGATTTGACAGAAAGATATAATGTACGAGATGTCTGGTCATGTAGACTAGACTGGTGACTATACTTCAACTTCGTCGGTAGAATTCAGTCAACACAATAGATGAGTAAACAAACATTATGTTGATTACTAAATAATGAGTAAATAGTATAGTCTAGAATCAACTGGATGAAGTATTATAAATATGAATACGCAAGCTTAAAATGCTGGGAAATATATTAGATTTGTTTATTCATTAGGGGCTTTTGAAATTTGTTCGATTTGAATTTAGCTTTCAGCCTGAAGTGAAACTGGCTGTAGAATCATTCACAATTGAATTTTTTGTTTTCTGTTGTCCAACTCAGTTATAATATACTCTCCATACGGTATACCGATCCCACAATTCAGATAAGAAGACTGAATAAGTAAGAGGATTTAGTTGTTAAAATGAATTATAATGTGCACAAACTGTGGTGACACACGTAAATGTCTTAACTTCCCATTCAAGGACATGTAGACTGAGAACATGACTAGGTGTATGATTGACTTATCTCGGTAGAGTTCCCCATTTACAACTTCTAATCTACAGTTTTTGACTTCTAGATATCGTTTGGCCTCAGCCATGGAATATTGTTAAATTCTCTTAGCATGTCAGAATTCGAAAATAAGATACAGCAGCTCTACTCCATGACTTTTTAATAGTTCTCTAGATAATTTCAGTTGCTGACAAAAACTTACTTCCAGTAAACTACCCTTTTACCAAGTAACATATTTGTATAATGGGATTCAAGTTACACAATTAGACTGTGTTATCATTCATCATACTAATCAGTTGACTAAATCAAATTAGATGAAGTTTAATTTTTTAAAAAAAAACAAAATACATTTAGAATTCACTAAGTATTGTTTGTTTGGATCTTCCCATCGATATGTTTAGGACTGCAACTGGTCAGTCTCTAATTGGCATATGTGCATACTGTGCGTATTGCCTCGATATACCTTAATTCACAAGCATGGTAAGCAGAGATGGATAGTGGCTACATTTAGTATTAATGGAATTATAAATAGTATAATCACTTCACTTCTATTCGAAGTTTATGCTGATAATGTCGTTCAGAAGAACGATGAAAGCTCCATGATCAAACCATCCAGCTCAGAGAACAAAACTCCATTATAATATTGTAATCACTGTTAATCAGTTGATTGTTTATGTATGATCTCTATTGTTATTGACTAGGATTTTAATAAATAACTCACTGAAAAAAATGGTGGATCGGTTAAAGTTAGACATTAACCCTGTTTGATACCGACCCATTAGTCTAGAGGTTAAGCGTTCGCACGCGAGACTGATAAGTCTTGTGTTCGAATCCCACAAGCCAGGATCGTGGATGGACACTGCTGAGGAGTCCCACAATAGGACGAAACAGCCGTTTAGTTCCACAAAATTTTCCATAGTGGTCTAGCATTAATTAATTCATGACCGTTGCTGCTACCTTGACGTGGTGGTCGGGCTTGCCTATCGTGATGAAGCAATCGAGCTATGCTGACTGGAACAATCGTTCCTCGAGGTCCTATCATGCCTGACAGGTAGGTCGGTTGAACAGCGGTGAGACTAAAAGCAGCAATCCCAAGGTCCAAAGGCGAAGTCGTATTGCCGACTGTACAGAGGTGTGACGGCAGTAAGGTGTTTCCTTCAGACAACCTGCATGACAGCGATGCTGCCTTCCCACAAGGAGGGGTGGGGTTAGAAAAGATCGACCCTAAAAATGCACATCTCTCCTTATCCCACGGATTTCCGTCTCCTGGGGTAAGGTCCTTTGAAGAACGGAGCCAACACTTCAAAAATCCACCACATAAAGGCCGTGCGTGGCCGGCCTCAAGCAGTTGTCCCTTGGGCACTGCGGTCACGCTCCCAGGTCGTTATGATCAACACTAATCCAACTTCTTTTTCAGGTCCCTCAAGAAATGCCCTTCCACGGTGTGGGCAGCCGGGAAGTGATATTAGCCCTCATGCACGTAACAACACACGAGACCAAGTTGGTCACTTTCAAATCCTTCCTACACACCCTAGCAACTCTCTTATCTCCACGACTAACCCTTCCCACGTCCTTTCATCACCTCTCACCGCTAGGGCAAACGATTCGAGTACACGGAACGTTATTCCTGATTTCCTGAAACCACGCTCTAAACTACATGTAGGAACTTTTAATGTCCGAACATTGTGCCAAATAGGACAACAGGCTTCTTTAGCTAAGACTCTATAATCTTACACCAACGATGTGTGCTGCGTCTCCGAAACGCGCATACAAGATCCGAGTAGCGTCATTCATTTGACCTCACCTAATCAAAATAAAGATTCATCTCGATACACGCTTCGTGTATCTGGAAGCCCTGATACTGCTTCCCGTGACCTCGCTGGAGTAGGTATAGCATTATGTTCTAGGGCAGAACTAGCTCTTTTAGACTGGATCCCAGTAGACAGTCGTCTATGCGCTGTTCGACTAAACGGATCAGTAAGGACCCGGAAAGATAGGGAAACTCGTCGTTGCCTCTTCGTGGTCTCTGCCTACTCTCCCACTGACTGCAGCTCAGACGATATGAAAGATGAGTTCTACAGGAAACTTTCTGACCTTCTCCAAGAAGCTATTCGTTCTGATGTAGTAATAGTAGCAGGTGACTTTAATGCTCAAGTAGGTGAACTAAGTGAAAGGGAAAGACACCTGGGTGGATCTTATGGTGTCGTGGCTAAAAGGACAGATAATGGCGACCGTTTGTTGCAGCTGTCCTCAGATAACCGCCTATTTCTTGCAAATACTAACTTTATGCATAAGGAAAAACATCTTTTGACATGGCGACTCCCGAATTCGTCCCAACGTTGTACCCGATTAGATCACATCGCTATCAGCCACCGATGGAGGGGCTCGATAGAAGACTGTCGCTCATTCTGGGGCATATGTTTAGATTCAGATCATGCTCTAGTGCGAGTACGCATCTGTCTGCGACTTACTGGACGTAGGAAAGACACTGCAGAGAAGCCTCTAAGTGTTCTACTTAATGATAAGCAAGCTAAGAATATATTTCAGGAACAACTGGAAAAACAGTAAGACAAACATGTAAGTTGTTTCCACACCGAAGCAGCGTGGAATGACATCCGAAAAGCTGTGGAAACAGCAGTGATATCCGCTAGTAAGGTAAGCCATAAGGTCAGGGAGAAACAGTGGATCTCGGCTGCATCTACCGCACTGATCGATGCTCGAAAACTCATCCCCCCTGGCTCTGAACATAACGAAGAGCGGAGTCAACTTAAGCGCAGGCTTATAAGAAGCCTACGTAATGATCGTGAACAGTGGTGGGTAGCGAAAGCAAGAGAGATGGAAAAGGCAGCGGCAATAGGTAACAGTAGGCAGCTATTCAGACTCGTTAAAGAAACCGGTATTAGGAACCCGAATATCAGTGAAACCATCTCAGATAAAGATGGGCATATTATTCATTCTCAATCCAGGAGATTGGATCGATGGGCAGAACACTTTAGGGATCATTTCAACTGGCCTTTAGCCACACTTCAGTTACCCACGATCCCCAGTCGTCCTGAATGGCAAATTGAGGTAAGTCCTCTAACTCTCTACGAGGTTGAAAAAGCTATAGGAAATGTGAAGCGAGGGAGAGCCGCAGGCCCTGACAGGTGTACCCCTGAGATTTTTAAGGATGGTGGTCCAGTACTAGCAGCGAGATTGACTGAGGTCTTAGGTAGAATCTGGGAACTGGACGTAATTCCATCTGACTGGTCACAATCACTGATTGTGCCCGTCTATAGGAAAGGACAAAAGTCATCCTGTGACAATCACAGAGGAATCAGTTTTACTAATATAGTGTCTAAAATATTAGCTTCAATAATACTTAGGCGCCTAATCAAAGCTCGTGAAGAGCAGACTAGAGAAAACCAGGCTGGTTTCCGACCTGGACGTGGTTGCAAAAACCAGACATTCACTCTACGTCAGGTCCTAGAACATAGACATGCATTCAGACATCCCACAATCGTAGTATTTCTTGACCTTAAGGCGGCATTTGACTCCGTGGATCGTGAGGTTCTATGGCAGTGTTTGTCAGTGAAAGGAGTCCCAAAGAAGTACATTAACCTCATAAAGGCTCTCTACTCGAACACAACTGGTCGAGTTAGAGCCTATGGCGAACTGTCATCAGAATTGGTTACCTCAAGTTGTGTTCGTCAGGACTGTCCACTCTCCCCATTCTTGTTTAACTTTGTCGTTGACATGCTTTTAGAGATATCACTTTCATCATCTCAATCTCCTGGAGTTGAAATTTTACCGGAACGCTCGCTTGTTGACTTAGAATACGCCGACGACATAGTTTTATTTGGTGAAGACGCTGACAAAATGCAGAGTCTTCTGACCACTATAAGCAACAATGCAGGCATGTTCGGGATGCGATTCTCTCCCTCGAAGTGCAAAATGTTACTTCAGGATTGGGTTGCATCGGCATCTGAACTAAGGATAGGGAGTGAAGTAGTTGAGTGTGTTGACAGCATCACTTATCTTGTGAGTCTCATCAGACCTTGTGGTCTGGTGTATGACGAAATCTCAGCACGGATACAGAAGACTCGTCTAGCTTTTGCCAACTTGCGTCATTTATGGCTTGGGCAAGATATCCGTCTAGCAACAAAAGGACGGGTTTACTGTGTAGCAGTCCGTTCCGTCCTACTTTATGGAAGTGAAACATGGCCGATAAGAGTAGAGGATATTCGTAGGCTACTAGTGTTCGATCATAGATGTCTTCAAATTATTGCTCGTATATCCTGGGACCACCGGGTAAGTAATGCAGGTGTTAGGAAACGGGTACTATGTAAGGATGGCAAATCAGTTGATGAAGTAGTGAAACTTCACCAGTAGAGATGGCTGGGACATGTGTTACGTATGCCCAACCACCGACTGCCCCGACGTGCAATGTTTTACGGTGTAGGAGTTGGTACGTGACACAAACCCATGAAGTCACTAACAATTGGACTGAGCCTTGCTGGTAGGTGTAGACTACCTGGTTGGGATTCGCGAGATGATAGCAACCGATGGTTAGAGACCTTGAATGACATGACTCAAAATCGTTTGCAATGGCGAAGGTGCATCCACTCTTTGTGTTCTACCGAATTCTAATCTGAATTCTTCATGTCTGTATCCTTTTTCTCTTTCCAAATTTATTATACTCCTTCAATAACATCTGCAAACCCTAATCTTTCCGATTACTGCTTATACTCTTACTACTTGTACCATTATGGGATTTCAATCGACAACTTCATCTCTGTGGTAATGTATTATGGCAACTCGAATTGATGTACGTACGTACGAAGTTCTACGTTTTAACTGATTGACTGACTGAATTCATGATCTCAACTAACAAAATGACTATAATATCCACCAAATCCCTTCTGATATGAATGATTCCAATGTTTAGTTTTCTTTTTGCTTTTGTTTCTTCTTTTAATATGAGGACGGTCAATTGTCTTAAAAATAATAAGCAAATCATTATTTTTGTCAGAAGAGGTTTTTTGTGGAGATTTAGTATTTTCATGGTCAAAACCGTGAGTCCATTGAAGCTAGTCCACCACGAAAAACCTGGAAGACCTGGACAGCCGTTTCGTCCTCAGCAGTGCGCACCCACGACCTCGCCTCGCGAGATTCGAACCCAGGACCTACCAGTCTCTCTCCAGAGCAATTAATCATGGATGCGCACTGTTGAGGAGTCCCACAATAGGACGAAACTGTCATCCAGTGCTTCCAGGTTTTCCCTGGTGGTCTAGCTTCAATTGACTATAAAAAGATCATTATTTATCAAATTTTTGTATGTATTACCTTCTGTATGATTGCTAACGCTTTTAATCATAAGAAACAGCTTGGTTGTTTGTTTGTTTTTC